AAAAATCACTGAAAGCTTATTGCTAGCTTTGTCAAGATTGCCTTTTTCTTAACATTTTTTCTTCTTCAAAGGGGTATTTAACAAATGGGGGTAATAAAACAAAAAACACAAATAAAATGAAAATGACAAAAACAAAAAGGAAAAAGAAAAAACAAAGAAGAATATAGAAAAGAAAACAAATACGAAAGAGAAAATAAAAGAAAAAATTACAAAGAAAAGAAAACAAAAAGGATAGCAGAAAATTCTGTCTTTTTAACACTACTATTATCCATGCTAGGCTGAAAAAAATTATATAACAAATACAATATTTGTATATTTCTAGTGTAAGACTTTGCCTTATCAAATAAATTTTCTGACTAAATCATCCGGACTTCTAAACAACGTAAGCGGCCCAACCTTGGTATTATGTGAAGCAGCATGGTCTATAAACAAAACAAACCAGACACGTGATCGCAGTCTGCTGGAGCTGTTCAGATTTGGGAGATGTAAACAATGCTGATCTTTTGGAGGGGGTAAGCTGTTTTGTCCACTTTTGTGGGAAATTTTGAAAGAGTGGTGAGGAGGCAGAGAAAAAAGATGAAACCACTTTGTTTTGTTTAATAAAAGAGTGTGTATTTTCTTTACTCAACACACTGAATCCATAGAAAGGTGCTGGTACTCTTCTTATTTTTAGGTAAGTAATAAACTCTGGGCTTGTTGGCAAATAGCATATAAGAACTATTTCTAAACAACAAGTGTCTGGCCCCCGCAGTGAGTGATAAACTCTGAAGAAGTTAACAGGTAATATATGAGAACTATCTCTAAATAACAACTGCTGAGTTACAGAGTTTAAGGACTATTTCCCAAACTGTTTTTACCTTTACAGATACTTGTATTTTTAAGAATTTTAGATTTTTGTGGAAAAAAAGTGATTATTGAGAAGAGTTGAAAAAATGAATCTGAATATTATATAATAATTTAGTAGCTTATTAATTTGTTAAATATGTAGATAATTAGCTTTAAGTAGTGTTACAATTGAGTACAAAATACTACTAGTAGTATATCTAAATCCTATCTATTAAGAATTGAACATGTTATCATTATATGCTTTACATAATGCCCTATATTTCGACCATAACCTGATATTCATAATATAATTAAAGAACTATTTGGATTTAATATATTTTCTTCAATATAAAATGGAATTATATATTTCAAGATATCTTTTATACTTCTATAACTAGCCTTTTCAATTAACTCAGTTATACTATGAATTACTTTTTCATCATTAATATAAATTTCATCATTATTTGTTTCAAGTATTGTTGAATTATCTATATTAATATCCATAACATAAAGTGGTATAACATTTTGCATTATTTCATTAAGATTAAGCTTTTAATTACTAATCATATATTTACAATCCAATTTTGAAGAGATTTTTGCTATTAATCGAAAAGTATCTCATGAAATATAATTATAATCTATTGCATGAACATATGCTTGTCTTTTTATTTTTTCTGATAATTCATCTTTTGAATAATCAATTATCCAATTTTGATCATTTACTGACAAAGTAAGTGATTTTATTTGTATTGGATCCTTATGATTTAAATGTGTTGTTTCTTTATTTATATAGTCACGCACTTTTTTACTAATTTGTTTAATTCAATTTCTTTTTGCAGTATTACCAAGAGTTTCAAGAGGTTGAAGAACATTAGATCTATGGCGATAATCTCTAGTTTGTTCTACACACTTAAGTTGTAATCCGAATACTATAGTTCCGGATTATGTATCTTATATATATTAAAAAAAAATTTTAATAATGATTTAAATATTATTAAAAACGTTTTTAAAAGCTTTTACCTATGCAAACAAGTTTGCTACATGAGTCGCACCTTGCCAAGATTCAATTGTTTGAAATCCATCTTTGTCATATTTGATTTTAAAACATGGTTTTAATTGCATTTTATCATTATGTATATAATTAATAAAGCATGTAATATTTCATGTTTTATTTTCCTTTGCCCAACTAGCCATGACTTTATAATCATCAGGAATAGAGTTTGGAACTGGTTTTATTTTTCATATGTTAAAACCAATTAAAACCGGTTTTAACATATGAAAAATAAAACCGGTTCCAAACTCTAATCAGGAATTCTATAACTATTGTTTTTTTTTTTTGAGTTCTGACAAGAATAGATAATGGCGGATAGAATCCTTCAGAGATGATAGTATAATGGTAAGTTCCAGTAGATGGATCATTGTATTCAATTTCAGATTTTTTAGGATGATTGTGAATTTCTATTGAATTATATTTCACTTTGCTGTTTGCCATTTCAAGTGTAAAGTGAATGTGTAATTAAGATACATAGTAGTGTGAAAAGCTTCAAAGATATATTTAGAATATTTGATTAATAATAAGCTCTATGAAAATGATGTAATATATAAGTAATTAATGGTTAATACATATCAACAAACTTACAAAAATCAATTCATTATTCAAATATTATAACCAAAAAATTATGTATTAATTAATTATATAAAGCTGTTACGGTATAAGTTGTACTGTAAAATCATCAAAATTAACTTTAATATCGATGTCAAATGACTATCTAACCCCGACTAGTTGGTTAATACCCTTTAAATTTTGGGGTACTGAAAAAATTAGCCCATATGTATCTAGCTCCGTTGCATTCAAGACCTTAGCTGCTCCAAGGAAAAAATTCTCAATATTTTTGAAATAGGTAAGCTAAATCATTGTATGGTTTATTTTAAACACATATTGAACTAACTTGTTCCTACAAATTACAAAATTTAACAAACATGGGAAATGTAGATTGTACAGTAGCATTCTTAATACATATGGATTGACTCAAACACAGAAAAAAAAATGAATGCTTGATGGCATTTCAATGTGCGATAATGGAAGCAACTCAAGTTTTTAAGAAATTTCGAGGTCTTGCCTCGATGCAACTATCAATATCCCTTATTTTGGGGCTCCACAGCAAAAGAAGAGGGTGGCAAAAAAAAATTTTTTTAAAAAATTCAATATCTTGAAGAATTAGATTGATTAGAATAAAATTACTATAAAATTAGAACATCCGATTTTTTTGACCCATCCCCTTTTGCTGTGGGATCCCAATTTCCTCTTGTCCATTCTCGAATTATTATATCAGGCATATTTTTATATCATTGTTTGTCATTTTTAAATCAAACACAAGTAATTTTATGTTATCCGGCAAACTCATATAATCATGAAAAATTTCTTTTTGTTATTTTTTTTTCATATGTTACTATGTAATTATGTTTATTCCAGTATTCAAAATTAAAACTCAGCGAGCGACTCCCTACCAATCATGATTATAAATTGCCGGATAACACCAAAATTGGGCAAATTGTCGAATACGGTAATTTGACAAATGATTGGCTACACGTGCCGCTTTGCGGCACGTGCTCATTTGCCAAATTACCGTTATTCGCCAATATTATATATATATATTGCAAATATAGATAGGATTTTTGGCGCCAATAGTTACCCCATATGGATCTGTGTTTTGTAGAATATTCTATCATGAAATAAATTTACATTCCATGCTCTTTTATATATATTGTATATATTGTCAATATTAAAATGTAGAGATGAGTTTTATTTGTGGTATAAAATATACAATTTTTTTTTCCTTAATTCTCGAATGTGAATGTCAAAAATGCACGTGTTAACAAAAAAAAAACAACGTGGTAATTTTTATTGTCGATCATGTTTTATTGTGGCATGTCACACATAATTGGTTGATAAATGCTTATTTTTACTATATCAGTACGTATATATATACCATTGTATATATGATGGTACGATTTCCGTGAATAAGATAAAATCACCTCATTTAATCACATCTATAATAATATCACGTATATAAAGATGAGCGTATGTATATAATGAATGTTTTTCTTACCAAGTAATTTCAAACAAAATGGATAAAACTCAAAATGACAATGCATATCTTCCTCCATTAAATCAAAATGTAATCTTTTCAGAACCTTCTTCCATTCTTTCTTCTCAACAAAATACTTCTGTCTCGCCTACGGCTGTGAAAGGAAATAGTCGACTCAAATCGCGAATAACTATCGATGTTGGTAGGTGTAGTCATAAGACTAAAGACTATAAGCCGCGATCGTTTAGTCTTGACAGTGGTTATAAATATTATTGTCATCCACAATACAATATTTACAACCAAAATGATAATAATTATGAACTTTTTTGTCGCGCTTATAAACCTCAATTACCTGAGTCACTAGTTGAAAGAAGACGTTCATCATCTAAGTATCCAATTTATGGCTACTCAAGTTCGGATGATAAACTATATGATTCACCAAGTACAAAGCTTTATCCATATACGAATATTTTTATGGGTAGCAAGGTGAATAACGAGAAGAATGGAGATTCAGAAAATTTAGAATTTGGCAAAGAAATTACTAAAGAATTCTTATATAATTTTGAAGCGTGGAAGGAACAATTTTTTAAAAGTTCTTAAATAATTTTATTTTATTAAGTTTAAATGAACAATTTACTTTTACTGTGTTGTTGTTGATACTTATATTATGCAGTGAAATTATTCTCTTATTTTTTAATATGAAGAATATATACTTAGATGATAATAATAAATGAATGTACAGTACATATATTATTAAAGTATATCAGCTTTATTCTTAAATAATGAGCTCGGAATTTTGTCTCTATTGATTTTTCGAATTAGAAGCCTATTTTTATTTCGATTCGTTAAATAGTAGCAAAATTATATTGAAAATCTACTTAAACTATAATTTGGATATGAGCGTTATATAATTCAGTCATATATACGTTGTGCCTCAGATCGGTTCTTGTTTCAGGTGATAATTGAGACGCCCTTAACTTAGCAGTGTTGTTCACTGGAAAGTTCCAGTTATAAATACTGGAACAGCATAGCGAACATATATTGTGATTGGCTGATTTTTGTAGATCATCTCGTTATACTGAAGTCTTATTAAAGTAACGATTTTCTATCACTAATCACGAGAATGAATTCGCATCCACGAATATGTATTCGCAGAGGTTGTGGTGTAAAAATTCAGAAACTATGCCTTCTTCTCTATAAGACGTTAAAGTAATTTGGTAATCGGCGAGATAATTCGGAAGTTAGATGAGAACTACTTTTTGAGTATTCTAAAACTTTCTATTTAGTTATTAATCTGTTTAAACTATGCGATTCAACTGTCTTTTTTTTTTTTTTTTATATAGTTTCGTCAAAGCTTTTGCGTTTGCAGCTTATAAACAATAGGTTAGACGGTATTTTTATTCTTTTCTATGTTTTTACCGTTTTTACTTTTAAATTGACTTTCTTTTTTTTCGTTAATCTTTACTAATATACTTCTCTTCGCAAAATGATCTTAGGTTCAATTATTCTTCCATAAATTTTAGATATTTTTCTTATTATTTGTGTTTTATTTCTTGGTAATCTAATAAAAATCTTTAAATTATTATCTCAAAAAATCTTCAGAAATTTTTTCTAAAAATATAAATTTTTGATATTAAAAATGATCAGAAGATTACCAATGTGCTAAAACAACTTAATAAATCAAATTTTCAGTTGAACCATTTTAACTTTTTGTCTAATTAAATATTGGAAAGCTACTGTATGATGCTTACGTATTTACTTATAAACCAAAGTAAATTAAACCGTCTTTTTTATTTTGAAATATTGGCCTCCAAATACATGTCACTCTCGTTATATCGACATTTTTGAGAATTAGTAAAAAATGTTATATAGCGAATTATACCGACATTTTATATTAAGATTTTTGAAAAATTGCCAGTATAGAAGGATTTTACTATGATGTCGGTATATCCAGAATGATGTTATATCTTTAACAGTTACTAATTAATGCCAGTTATTTAAAAAAACGGTAAAAATATTTCCTTTTATAGTTATTTTGCGAATCTAGGGATTTTACGTTTCGAAACATAGTATTGATGACGATTTTCTTAATAACATTTAGCTTGCACAAATTTAATAGCTCAGACTAAATGAATTTATTAAGAAAGCAACCAATTCTACTATACAGAGAGCTCTCTAAATATACCTCTTTTAAATGTATTATACACTTTAGTCCCGGGCATTTTATTCAATGAATAGAAATGTGTCGGAAATGCATCTGGAATTAAATTTTAATTAGTAGAAATATTTTAATTGATTAAACGCAATTTTCAATAAGGTAAATAAGGTATGAAATTTATTATGTCAAAGAAATTTTAAAGAGTGTAGAACGACCAATAAGTTTATCATTCTAGTCAACAAATTTTTTGTCCAAACATCTTTTTTGGCACTGGATTATCGAAACTTTATAACCAACAAATTCTAAATAGAGCTATTGCCTAACCAGTTTCATACTTTCTTAATACAGATGCACTAATCTATTATTATTATTATTATAAATTTTGATTTTATTATTTTTTAAAAAAATTTCTAATAAATAGACATTAGAAAATTTAGAGCTGTAATTATTATCAATGACACATTGTTTTCCTTGATTAATAGATGGATTAATTAAGTCCTTATGATTTTTCTTTGTATTTCAAAATTTCGACATTTAATAAACCACATTGAATGATAAAAGCTGCTCAAGTATTGACAAAGCCTTTATTTTGATATATCGCAATAATTAGCTTTACTACAATTATTAACAAGTAATAGTTTATGTGATAACTCTTAAAATATTATATGACCAACAAAAATTAAGTCATAATAGTTATGTGATATTTTGATCGCACCTAAAAGAAGATCTTGAAAACTCCTTCAGACTCTAATAATACCAATAAAGTATCTCTATAAATACATGCTTGAATTTAGCCCTAAAAAATATTCAGCAAAGTTCTTAATATCCTTGATTACGAGTTTAAAAATTCAAATCAGTTTTTCAACACTTGAAATACTTCAAACTCATCAATTAAAAGAGCATAATTATCAGATCTAAGTCGTTTTTCATAACGTGAATCATTATGAACATAATACAATGTCTTATTATAATATTGGACCAAAATTGTTAAAGCATCCAATCACTCCATTTGAATAAATAACTCTACTAAGGATGGAATTCGTTAAATTTTTGGATTTCAATGAAAAGATAAAATTATCTGTAGTTGTAAGCCATTCACTATTAGACGTCCAGACTAACGGATTATATCCACCAAGTATTTCATTTGTATCATTAACTTTTATAACAGACACGGTGCCAGAAATATTATCACATAAGCTATGAAATGTTTTAGGAGAAAATCCATCTCTACTTCCTCGAAGAAGTAAATTAAACTTGTAAGGTATTTTCGTAACATCATATATCGATGAACAACGATCAATCCAAGACGAAATCTCTACAAAATGTTCATTATTAATAATAGACGATGGATTAATAAAGTTAACTTCACGGACAGGAAGTTGAATAGGAATTTTTTTACGAGCAGGTAAGATAATCGAAGAAATAGATGCATTAGGTGCCATAGTCTTTGTCGAAATATCATCCCATAAGTCTACCCCAAGAATTTGTCGATAAGGTTTAACTTTTGCTACAATATCTTCTCCAGACATTTGAAAATATCGAATTAAAGGAATACATCTGTCAAGTGTAGTCTTTAAATCTAAGAAATTCTTTTCAGTCCATTGTTTGAGATCAGAAGGCATACCTTGAGTTTGCGCTTTTCCCCATTGTATAACCTTATCCCAAATTTCAGATTCTTCAATTTGTAAATCATTTCTCTTTAAAAGACTTATCAACGCATTTTCTTGAATAGAAGTAAAGTCATCAGAATCAAAAACTAGGTTAGGATGTTTCGCAAGGATATCAGTGCAAAAAGTTTGTAACGGTTTAAAATTATTATCTTGAAAACTGGTAGAATAAACTTGGGTAAATTTAAATCGAAGCCAAGGAGCCTTGTTATCAATAAGATAAGACTGAATGTATTCAACTAATTCAACTAGGCCTAATTTGTTAGATGGAACTAAAAGATCAAATATAGTAGATTCCGAAAAATTTTCTAATAAAATTGTGCCAGTGTAAATATATCTAAAATTAAAAGACCTTTAATTAGTATTTAACTATAAAGAAATTTCCGCTTACAAGGGTTGAAGTTCACCAAGTATACTAATTTCTCAAAATTTGAAATAAAGTAAAGTATTAAGTGAAATGTTTAAACGCTACAGAAAACACCCCAATATCAAATCTAAGCAATAATTCCAACACTTAATTATAATTCTAAAAATTCTAGGGAAAAACTTATATAATAAAATTTTTAAAAAACATATTGGTGGATCCTAACTGTAATTAATTTGAGTATAAATAAGTCGCTTACTTAATTAAAATTTTAAAAGCTTCAACGGAGATATGAGTTAAGGTAATTTCAATAATATTGTTCTTTTTAGTTGCGGCTGATAATTCTTTACGAAAGAATGATGAGCGTTGAAATAAAACCAATGAATGTAACTTAAAAATTTGGTTGTCCACTTTAACTATAACGCTATAATCATATTCTGTTTCAAGAAATCATTAGGCGTACGTATGTACGTACCGGTATTAGAGTGGACTGAAAAATGTGATGTGCACATATGTGCATATGTGTACATTTTTTTCGTAGTTCATATGTGCACATATGTATATTAAATATATGGTCGCTTCTGTACGTATAATGAACGTCTTTATAACAAACCATAAAGGTTTAAATTTCGTATGAATTTTGTGTGGTAAATATAAACTCGGGAATAAACTTTTTTTTTAAAATATCCGGTATATTATAAAGAAGACGTATTTTCGAAGAAATTATAAATTCGAACGTAAGTTGGATTCTTTGATATTTTGAAAATATCATAATTATTTAAATGAAAGAACAAATTTATATTCTAAAATTTATATGACTTTGACTTTATATAGATTTACGTTGAGAGTATGTCAGATTGCCTAGACGTCAAAAGTGTGTAAAGATTATA